ATCAAAAATAATGGAATGCTTTTCATGGTCACGAAATTAACTAGACAAACAAAATTTTTCAATCAAAATTTAAGAAACAACTATTTACATGAAGTGTTTTTTAATTTTTTTAAGTGACTGAATGATTCCATAATGTTCTAGACTACATTCACTTACGTTGTTCTTCATAGTGAAGCATGTGAGTTTGTTTTGTGCGTTCGAAATCAATTTTACTTCATATATATCGTTGATGAAGCTCATTGGTTCTTTGCCACTTATATTTGACGTGAATCAATGAAGCATGACATTTTCATCAACCTGATCATCATCATACACATATTCACGCTTTAAATGCTTTTTCTTTTTTTCCTTTCTTTTACGTTTTGTATTTTTACCATAAAGAATATACATTAATATTCTCTAACGTGTGCGCGTTAGCAATCAAATATCGAAAATTTCTTTCTGACCAATAAACAAAAGAAGAATCTTTCTATATTTATTTAAGATTCATGGAATAAAACAAATCGAAAAACGAAATGTGAATGTGAGTCTGGGCGACCAGGGGAATCTTCTCTTAAGGGTGTGGGTGCGGGTGTGGGTGTTAGACCCCGTCGGGTAGGAACCAGACCCGGACCCGGACCCTACCCGGACCCGCACGGGTCCGGGTCCGGGTCCAAAAATTTTATTTTGACCGGGTCCGGGTCTGAAAATTTTGCTTTAACCGGATCCAGGTCTGAAGAAAACTTTGATCCATACAATTTATTTTGAATTTTTTTAAAGTTTTGTTCGTTTTATACAAAGAAGAGATCAAATGTATTTAGAAAATAGATAAAAAACAACAAAACCCTTCTTGACTATACTATCTAAACTGACTTGTCATTGTGTTTGGATCCAAAAAATTTAAGCGACCGGGTCCGGGTCCGGGTCCAGCAACCTGTAAACGGGTCCGGGTCCGGATCCGGGTAGAAAAATTTTAAATGATCGGGTCCGGGTCCAAAAATTCTGGACCCGACGGGCTCTAGTGGGTGTGGGTGGGTGTGGGTGTGCGTATGAGTGTCGGTATGAGTGTGGGTGTGGGTGTGGTGGGATGTGGGTGGATGTGGGTGTGTGATGTGGGTGTGGAGGGTGTAGGGGTCGGTGTGGGTGAGTGTGGATGTGGGCGTGGATGTGCATACATATGAAGAACCAACTTCTATACCCACACTCGGAACTCGAACCACGTACCTTCTGCTATCCGGGCAGATGTCCTAAGCCAGTTAGACTAGAAAAGACATGTCAACTTTGTCTTATTTACACTGGAAAAAAAAGTGGTATGAATCCTAAACCAACGAGAGTTTCGTGGACTACAAAAGGTTTCGTACTTGCTACGAAACTAAAAAATAGTTTCGTACATAGTACGAAACCTAAAAAAGGTTTTGATTTTTGAAACGAATTCTAAACCTTTTTTGGGTTTCGTATGAGATCTACGGTATCTATAAAAAAAGATTCCTAGACCACTGAAAATCATTTTTAAGGTGGCTTAGGTTCATACGAAACCTTTTTAAAGGTTTCGATTTTTGAAACAAAATGGGAGTAGCCGGATGTTCGCCAATAGGACTTTCGTAAATTGGACTTTCGCCAATGGCGAACGTCCACTGATCTTTCGCCAAAATACCTCCTGTACTTTCGCCAATTGGCGAACTTCCACTAATCTTTCGCCAATACATCCCTGTACTTTCGCCAATTGGAGAAAATTTTATTGTCTGTAAATCTAGTATCGAGTAAAAATTTATCATGTATTACACTCTACTGCACATATGTAAGTGCGTTTTAATAATCTCACTTGACTTTTGCCAATATTGGCGAAAGTTCACAGGATTCTCATCAATTTATTTCTGGACATTCGCCAATTGGCCAAAGTTTAGTGGAATTTCGCCAATATACCCATTTGACTTTCGCCAATAATTGCCGAAAGTCTTATTGGCGAAGATCCGATATCCC